GACTTCTCTCGGAAGGTGCGTTTGCCCGTGTCGGCAAGGCAATGTGGAGGGAGGAATGACACTGTGATTTTGCTCACCTGTGAAGGAAGTGTGGGCCATATTGTTCCCTTCAGCCTCAGGGAGAGAGGATGTTTACTTGCTGGGAATTTCCATATGTAGAAATGAGATCCAGAAATAATTTGAGCCTTGGAGTGGTCTCACCACTCAGCCTGAACTGCCCCAGGTGCAGGGGTATGAAATCCTCGGCTGTCAGTGATGCTCTGCAGACGAGCAAGAACTTCTGAGCTGAGCAGGGCAGCACAGGAGAAGGGGCCTCGGGTGGGTTTCGCCTGTACCGTAAGCAAAGTAGGACACGTAAAATGATGTTAACGTGCCAGGGGAATTTATCTGACTGGAATCGTACAGGTTCCTGCAGGTTCGTCTTACTGCTGCCTCCTTCCCTGTTCCTGATGTTATCCCTCCTGTGGCAGAGAAGTTCTGCCCTGCAAACCCTCACGTCACGTGGCTGAGCCACGCGCGGCCGCGACGCTTTTGGTTTTGCGCTGTGGAGCCAACAGCCTCGTGGGTTTCCCTCCTTCCCCTGTGGGTCTGGGCTCTGTAAGGCAGGGCGTGCTGTCCCCCAGGAACCAGCTCACCGATGGGAGGAGGATGTGAATGACTAGAAGTGATATTCTTACCATTTATTTTGAAGGAAAGAGCTTGTCCGCGTGGAGGCTACTGTGATTGAGAAGACAGAGTCGTGGCCAAAAATTAACATGCGCTTCTGGAGGAGGCATAGCTACCAAAGGAAGAAAAGTAAGATGAAAGAACGCCCCATCCTGAAAAAACCCTTGGCACGCCTTGGGCTAATGCAGCTCGTCCGGCAGGAGCCTCCCAAAAGATCCGCAATGGGTTTGTGCTGTCATCTCACCTGTTGTTTATTTTTCTCTCTTCCTTCTTTTTCAGTCATCATGAACCCACAGGTTGTCCTTCGGATAAACACCATAGAAATTTTCCCCCGTTTGTCGTGACTGATCGATCAGGTGTTGTGTGGCTGAGGTTTGTGATCCCTCTGGGCAGTTATGGAAATAAAACTGCCTGGTCATCGGAAAGTTCTGGGCTTCTTGCTGTTGTCAGAAATAGAAATCTGTATGTACTTACTTAAAAAAAAAAAACAAAACAAAAACTAATTAACTATTTTTTAAAAACTATTATGCCAGCCTCGATGGTGTTTATTTGTCACAAGCCTGGGACCTGTTGCTAGCTGTCAAGCTGCTCCATGCCTGCTGCGTCTGCTTTTGCCTGCTTGCCTCTCCCTGTACTTCAGGAATTCAGGCTCTCAGCTCTGTCTTAAAAATACCTTGGGCTTTGCTGGTTGTGGAAGAAAAAGGTCTCCCCAGGCCTCGAGGTGAGGCTCCGAGCCCGGAAAGCCGATGTGTGAGTAATTAGTCAATGTAACGAGCCTGGTGCTGTGCTTAGTTCCTTGTGTTCTTGCAGGGTTCCCTGCCCGGGGTGCGTGAGTGCGCTTGGGGCTGGCGGGGAGGCAGGCGGGTTTTGGGGAGCTCATTTGTCCTCTGGAAATGCTGCGCTGTGTGCAGGTGAGGTGTTTCTTAAAGACTCTAAAGTGCAGTTTTGCCGCCTGCCCCTTCTCCTGACAAAGCCCTGCTGCTCTCTTCACACATTTCCTGGCATCCTGAGGCTTCAGGGAATCTCCTGGGCTAAGGCGCGGCCCACAGTGGGGCCGGAGGGAGCAGTGACTGCAGCATCCCAAATCTGCTCCAAGATCATGCTCAGTGCTGAAAATCCTTAAAGATTAGCAACAGGAGGTGCAGCAAAATAATTACCCCCTTAAAGGTGAGCCGCAGACTCCATTGCCTAGCAATAAATCCTTTGTGTGTGTAATGTCATGAAGTAACAGACACTGGTGGCTCAGGAGTGATTTTGTGCCTGTTTCACAGACTCGGTGCTTGACCTACTGAGTACATTTTTGGGTCTGGCTCGTGGCATTTTCTCTCTGCTTTGCTCGCAAGTGGAGCCCTGTGGCGTGCAGAGGCGCTCGTTCAGCCAAGCTCTGCACACATTTCTGGATTGCAGCAACAACCAGGGGGAGTTTCCTGGAGCTCTTGGATTCCTGACCGCTACCAGGAGCAGTGGCGAGTGGGGCCGGCTCCCCTTGTCACTTCTCTAGGGAACACCTTGCTTTGAATGAGTCGGGAGGAAAATCCACACGTGGGTGTCCTGCACCCCCACTGTGACTCCTGCGTGGGACCCAGGGTGCCCCTAGCCCTGTGCTGAAGGAAACGACTGTATCTGGATCTTGTTTTGTCTTTTGAATCCCACAAATCTGTATAAACCTTCAGGAGATCATTTTAGATGCCACAAACAGTGAGTGTGATAGCTGAGGCTGCGTTTCTTCTCCCCTGAATCACAGAACTTTGGGGGTGGGAAGGGACCTCCAGAGATCCCCCAGTGCCACCCCCTGCCAGAGCAGGGTCACCCAGGGCAGATCCCACGGGAACACCTCCAGGCAGGGTCTGAATGTCTCCAGAGCAGACCCCACACTCTCCCTGGGCCAGGGCTCTGGCTGCAGCCAGAGAGAGATCCAGGCGTGCCTGGGTCGAGCCAGTTCTCCCGTCGCTGGGGAGAGATGCTCCATCTGCGGGGCTGACTCATCCCTTCCCCTTCAGGCTCGCCTGGCACGAGCGCCCCTTGGGAGCTGCTGTTCCTTCCCTGCTGCCGCACGGGGAGCTTGGACACCCAGATTCCACACGGCTGCGGCGGGGGCTGTTCTCCGCCCAGCTCCCATCGTTGCATCCTTGTTCCCGAGCGGGCTGGCATGAAGGCGACGGCGGCGACTCCTCATCACAGCCTGTTCCCGAGCGCCGCGGAAGCAGCGCTGCCAGCTCAGCTGATTTTGCTGGAAACCTCTCGGTCCCAGCGTGTTCCTCACGGTGCGCGAGCGGCAGGGCTAGGGGACAGCACCGACATCGGGGGAATCTTCTGTCCTTCCTGGTTGTGGAGAAATGCTTGAAAATAACAAGAGAGGCTTCAAGGCGCAGAAGCGTGGGAGGGAGAGCAGGAAGGGACAATTCAACCAGCATTGGGAACTCCTGGTGTTTGTTTTGAAAATTTTATAATACAAAATCAGAGCTAAACATCGAGGTTTTAGTGAAAAGGCGCGTTCAGACTGAGGCAAAAGGGAATGTTTTTGGTGTTTTCTTTTTGCTGGTCCCAGTGGAAGCAGAAATCCCAGGTTCTTCTCTGGAGTGAAGTCCCAAATCTCTCCTTGGCCTCACGAGATCCTCCATGTGGTTTGCGACGCGTAAATAGTTAAAAAGAGCAGAAGCTTCTCCACAAAGCAGGCTTGCTTTTTTCTTTTTTTTCCTCCTAAGCACTGATTCATAGTGGAAATTTATCTGTTAGGACAAAACATCTCGTTGGACGGCACATCAGATCAGGGTGGAATTTGAGTGATGCTTTGCCCAGTCTCTAACGCTCGGGTGTCCGCGGGGGTTGGACGAGAACCAGGCCTGAGCTCCCGCGTCCAGCGCCTCTGCAGCAAAAACCGCGCGTTTGTGCCCCCGATCTCCCCTGGGGGCCGTTTGTGTAAGTGAGGATGGGGGGAGGCTGGAGGGGAGCGGGGAGCATCGCTCTGCCCTGAGTCACGCCTGAATTCCAGCTCCCTGCCCGCCGGCCGCAAAGCCACCGGCTGCTCTGCCTTCTCTCCGTGCTTTCGAAGAACGTCGCCGGGCCCCGCTCCATTCCCGGCCGAGGCACAGCGTGCTCCGCGGCACTCGCGTTTCTCCACAGTCCAACTGTTGAGCTGCCGGCCCGGCCGAGTGCCAGCCCAGCCCTGACCTCAGCCTTCCCCCTTCTAAGCACGATGGACCGTGGCACCTTCATTCGTGCCCAGCTCCGCTGGGCTTTTTGCTCCCCCTCAGACAGCGATGCTTTCAGGAGTCGGTCTGGAGTGAGATTTCAGTCATGGAAAAGGCCGTGCCAAACCCTCCGATGGGATGCGGCGGGGCGGGCTGCTCGGGTGCAGGATCGGCAGCTGCCCGGTGCTTGGATCGGGTTGGGCTGGATGATTTTTCAGGGTCCTTTGCAAGCCCCAGCACGGTGCGGTTTGGGTCTCACATCCTGGCAACAATAAGATCATCGCCACGACGGAAGGGGAAGCGGCCCGTGCTGTTGGCTTTCTGCGGGCTGTCTCCAGAGCTCTGTCTGGACAAGTTTTTAATCACCTGCCTGATGGGGTTCCTCTTCCTTCCCTCGGCGAGTCGTTCTGCATTCTAAAATAAGCTTCGCAAGCGAAGCCGCTTCTCGCAGCGTGAAGGCTTCCCGGGGCGAGGATCGTGGTTTGTGCAGCCTAATGAAGCGCGATGGACGCGGTAACCATCGGCGTCCATCCTTCCCTGTGGCGCCTTCTGACGAGAAACACCAGTGCACAAGACTCACTTTGGGACCCGAGGGCCAGCAAAGGAATTTAGCGACTTGATCATGATCTTTGGATCTGCTTAACGTCCAAGCGTGCTGCCACGTGTCAGCAGCTGCGGGCGTTTGCCCCGCTGCAGTGGCAAAGCAGCTGAAAAAGCTCTTGGGAGGTGTCGGTGGGGCCTCTGGGGCGGAAGGGACGTGCTGTTACCGTACCCCTTGGGTGTGTTGGTTTGTGGGTTTTTTTCTCTTTCGGCTTTGCGAAGGCGTCTTTGAGCTCTTGTGTGCAGCCGGATTTATTTTCCCAGCGTGGTCTCGCCACGTTTTGGCTGTGGTTTGACCTACACTTGAGCAGTTGGAGAAAGAATGGAACGCCAGGAAACTGCGGCGCTTTGATTTCTTTTGCACTGGAGGGTGGTTTTCTGTCTCTTGTGACCAGAAAAACAGCCTCTTAATTAAGAGGAGAAAGGGAATGCCTCACCTCCGGGTCCGGGCTGATACAAAGCCCTGACGGAGAAGTCAGGCAGCAGCCGGCGAGCCCGGGCGTGAGCAGGCGCTGGGGCGAGGTGCCTTTCATCTATTTTCTCTCTCCCTATTTATAGAACATGGGAGAAGCGGTTGGGATCCGCGTTCCCGCTCCTGCTGCGTCTCCGCTCGGCTGGAGCAGAGGCAGCGTTTGATGCCGGCTGGAACGGAGCGAGTCCGCGAAGCCGCTGAGGAACGAGAGGGCCCTGAAGCCTAGGAGCAATTTTTAATTGTGTGCTGGCTTTGCTGTGGCAACCAAAAATATGTTTATTGACGGGGCGGCGCAGCTTCAGTTACGTTCTTGGAGAGCGTTCCCCGACGGCCCCGTCCAGCATTAACTCTCACGAGGCGCTTGCAGCGACGCTCGCTGCCTGGTCTCAGTAGGACAATGTGGGTCCAGTCGCTAACGAGCGGCAATTAAACACGATACGTGAGTTGGGAACGTGGGGTCCGAGCCCTTCGAGTGGGTGCTCAGGGGACGAGCTGGGTGTTGTGGGACCAAAGCTCTGAAATACGTTGGTCAATTTTGAAAGGAGGGTGCAGGCTCCAAAGTCAGCCTGACATCGAGTTGGCTTCTGCACAGACCTTCTGATCGTCTGATGGAAAGAAAAGGGACCGGCTTTTATTTTATCTTCCTTTTCTACATAAAAATAAACACCCCCCTTCTCTTTCAGAAGCAGCAAAGTTCAGCTTTTTGGGGGAGCTCTCAAAAGAGCCGATGATCCGGTATCTGGGCCGTGGCGTGGTGCTCCCACGGTGCGACGCTAAGCCGAGGTCATTTCGTTCTTTTTCTGCTTTAGGGCAACTTTTGGTTTCTGGTGGATCTTTCATTTGCAGGGACATGATTCATGGGTTCCCTGGGCTGCCTTCCCGCTGCAGACTCTGCATCTTTAGAAAACGGCAAGTGCGGAATAGCCTGACCACAGATATTTCAACAGAAAACAATATCTGCTCCGCCTCCGTCCACCTGGCTCCACCGCAGGTGCTTTGTGACGCCGGAGGTGGCTTATTCAGCGATTGCAGACGATATCCCCCTCCTGCTGCCAGGGCCTCTGGGCAGGAGGGATCCAAA